CGTTGATTCCCGTCTGCGGCTGCTGGGGAGGTTGTTTGCTCCTGGGGATTGTTTGTGGGAGCCCCCTCCACTGGGGGCTGGATATGGGGCACATCTTCCCCAGGGCTGTGCTGGTGTCCCCCAGCTCCCCGTGCTCCCCTTCGCAATATTCCCACCCGCCGGTGCCCCATCCCGGTCCAGGAATGTCGCTTTGCTCCTGGTAACAGATTTATGCTCTTCAGCAAGAAATCAGCTGGATGCCGCTGATGCTCAGCATCATCTCTGTGGCCAGGGGGAGGAGGAAGAGGAGGGTGGCAGGGCTGGGATGGGGGACCCCCTGCCCAAGGGGCTCGGCACCGACCCATCCTCTCCGCAGGGCTGACGGAGACGTGCCGGGACTGCGGGCAGCGGAGCCTGGACTACCTGGGCGAGCTGAAGGACAAGCAGACGCTGGGGCGTGCCGAGCTGGGGGACGTGCGGCGGGCGCTGCGGGGGGTCCTGCAGCTGGCCCAGGTAGGAGATGGAGCCCGGGGCTGGCAGGGTGGGTTGTTTACTGGAGCTGGCATTTCCGAAATGAAAAATCAAAGCGGGCAGTTAATGCAGAACGATGTTGCCCCTGGGTGTCAAGGTGGGATGTTTGCTCGCAGCTTTCTGGCTGCACCTCGATGGACAGATTTTTTTTTTAAAAAAAAAAAGAAAAACAAACTATGGCTTTCCCCATTGTCCAGAGCTGAAATTGGAGACGCTGAGTTGGAGTGAGCACCTTGGGGTGGCTCGTTCCCCATACCCACAGGTTCTGGTGCTTTCCACGAGCCGTCTCAGCCTCCGAGCGCGGAGACCCTGCCTGGTGGTGCAGGGAGACGGTGACCCTCAGATCAGCTGAAGTCTTTCAGCCCAGGAGCTCCTGCGGAATAAAACTTCCCAACTTTCAGATATTTCTGCTGATGAAGCCCCCGTTAGTCTTTTCCATTAAACCGGTGTTAATTCTTAGGCTGTCAGCTCTCCGGAGCCCTCTGGAGCCCTGCTCTGCCAAAACTGCTCCTGTGATCAAGCTTTGTCACCTTGATTTAGGGCATTTCTTACCTCTGAGGTCCCTGTGCCATGTTTGCTGCAAGCTGGTGCCTCCACCCTTGCGGTCTGCAGAATGCTGCTCCTACAGCTTTATTTAGGGGGGAAAAAAGGAGTCTGATAGCTTGGCTTGGTGTTATTTCTTACAAATACTCCCGTCTCGCCCTCTGCCTAAACCTGGCGGCTGCTGCCTCCTCCGGCAGGAGCTGAGGCCCAAGAGCTTAGACATCAAGCAAGAAGAGCTGGGGGACATGGTTGAGAAGGAGATGGCCTCCACCTCGGAGGCGATCGAGGATGCCGTCAGGCGGATAGAGGTGAGACGAAGCTGAGGACGGGCCGTTCTGGTGCCTTGGGGCAGCAGTGTCCGTTCCTCTCCCAGCCCGTTCGCCGTCGCAGCAGCGTGGTGGTGTCCAACCCTTCCCCTCGTGTTTCCCAACAGGAGATGATGAGCCAGGCCAGGAACGAGAGCTCTGGGGTTAAGCTTGAAGTGAACGAGCGGTGAGTTTTGAGGGGCGGCGCGTGGCAGCCGCGGGCAGGTTTCCGTCCCGCGCCCACACCCGGCGGGGCTGTGCTTTACTCCGAAGCCGCACGTCCAACCCGGTGCCGCATCATCCTGATGCTGAGCGTGAAATTCTCTGTAGGAGGGCAGACCTTCGTCTCGCACATCTAATTGGCTGCTTTGTGGGCTGCTTAGATGTAACCTGCAGGCTGGCCGGTCTCCAAAACAGACCCATTTGTAACTGAGGCCAAAGCCTGCATCCCTGGATGCAGCATCAGAGGATGCTGAATGCTTTTCTCTTGTTTTCCTACAGGATTCTGAACTCCTGCACGGACCTGATGAAGGTCAGTACTGCAGAAACCAAGCTGGGGCGTCAAAGACTGTGCAAAACTGTAACTTCCCACCACTGGCAGCATCAATCCTTCTCCATAAAATCCTCATCAAACACCAAAACCTGTTTTTCTCTGTTCCAGGCTATTAGACTGCTTGTAATGACATCTACGAACCTACAGAAGGAGATAGTAGAAAGCGGCCGGGTAAGTTCTCCCCTACGCTCGTCTCTCCGCCCTGACACGAGTTTTGTGCTTGCCCGGGTTAGCGGGACGCTGGAGCCTGGCTCGCAGGAGGTGGGCTGCTCAGCCCTGGGCTCCCGCTGTCGTCTTCGCAAAGCCTTGTCGATCCAGAGACGACAGCCCAGACTTGCTAAACCCGGACCAAATTCGCAGACTGGGGGCTCCAGAGTTCGTTTTGTCAATCTGTGTTTAAGCAAACCAGTAAGAGCAGCCCGAAGGATGCAGAAATGCTGCCAGTCCCTTGATTTATGGCTTTATATGTGAATTTATATATTGTTATATATTATATGGATAGTTTATATGGATTTATGGATTGGTGTATGTTAGAGACAAGTTAATACAGGCCATAATATTCTCATAACAACAGGGGGCAGCAACAACGCAGGAGTTTTATGCCAAGAACTCGCGCTGGACCGAAGGGCTGATCTCTGCCTCCAAGGCGGTGGGCTGGGGAGCCACGCAGCTCGTGTAGGTACCCCAGGACCTCACCCGCGGCTCCTCTCCGGGCATGGCTCCGTGTGCTGCGCCCGGGGCCGGCCCGCGCTCATCCCTTGACCGAGAACCCCAACTGTCCTTTCAACCGGATGCTCCGTGTCCTGGCTGCTGCTCAGATGGACGTGGTTGGGGTGGGTGGGATCGGGGCAGGGTGTCCCCGTGCCAGTGCAGGAAACATGGGGGCTTTTTTGGACAAAGCTTTAAAAATCTCATCCGCTTCGTTACAGAAACACAATCCAGCTTCAGCTGATATTTTATACCCGTCCAAAACTTCTGGATCTGGGCTTTGAGTAATTAATTGCTTTGTAAATGAGCTTTAAATAATTACAGGCAAAGCTGCTGGTTTGAGGTCTGATGCTGATTCCTAAGGGTGTAGCAGGAGGTGAATAACCTGCGCTTGCTTCGTCGTGCACGGCGAGTATCTCTAACAGGATCTCCCTTCTGCTCCCTAACGCAGGGAGTCGGCAGACAGAGTTGTCCTGCACACGGGCAAGTACGAGGAGCTGATCGTCTGCTCCCACGAGATCGCCGCCAGCACGGCCCAGCTGGTGGCTGCCTCCAAGGTGGGTGCCTGTCCGCAGGCGGCTCCTCAAGCTGGAGCTTGTTTTGTTCCCATGGTGTTGTCCCGCAGATGCTTTCCTGCAGCAGAGCGTGGCCGTTGCGTCCGCCAGCCCTGCAGCCTCCTCCCGGGGCAGGCAGGGGAGGAAGCTCTTGCCATTTTCGAGTCAGTCTGTGGTTTTAACCCGTGTGTCTTCCCCTGCATTAATATTCCCACACCTAGCAGGGCTTGCCTGGGGAATGAAGATGTGTAAAACCTCCCGTCAAGCTGAGTATGTAAAGAAAATGTTAATAACTAACGAGAAACCCCGAGTAAGCAGCTGCAGGAGCCAGCATTGAGAAGGATGGATTTTGGTCCTTGCCACCTTTCCCGTTGATGTGGGCGAAAGCGATGGGTAGAGGTTTCCATGAGCAAATGGGGATGCACGTTGCAGGAGGAGGAGGAACCCTACTATTTTTTACAGCAGATGGTTTTAAAACTTAAGAGCATGGTTCAAAAAAATAGCTCTGTCTTCGCCGAGGCTGCTTAGCCGTGTGTGCTGGGCTCAGGCGGGAGCGGAGCTGGTTTGGTGTCCTGGGGCTGAAGGGCCTTGCAGGGGTCACCATGTCTGGCCGTGATGGGGTCATCAAGAATAAATGTCTGTCTGTCCGTCCTTTCCACCCCCAGGTTTTCATGTCCAAGGACTGTTCTGACGCAGTGTGAGGGATGTCTGTGCTCCCACGAAAAACGGGGCTGCCGGGGGGGCTCCCCCGAGCCGGTGGTGCCGGATTCCAGAGATGCCATGGCAGGCACCTGCAGCCATCCCCATGCTCTTTGCAGGTGAAAGCCGAGAAGAGCAGCAGGAACCTGGGCCGGCTCCAGGAGTGCTCGCGTAACGTCAACGAGATGGCGGCCAACGTGGTGGCTTCCACCAAGTCTGGGCAAGAGCAGAGCGAGGAGAAAGGTGAGGTTTTTTTGAAAGGAAAGGGGAGAGAAAAAACCTGCGCCGAATGCCTTTCTGGCCTGGCGAACACCCCAAGGTGCCTGCCTGGCTTCGCTTCGGCACGCGAGGGTCCTCTGCAAGGGGTGCGCTCAGCGAGGACCCCCCCGCCTTTCCCTGCAGACACCATGGACTTCTCGGGCATGTCCCTCATCAAGCTGAAAAAGGAAGAGATGGAAACACAGGTACGGCCGTGGGGGTGGGTTCGGGCTGCGGTCCCCATCCGGACCTGTGCTGGGGGGTCCCTTCTGCTGCCCCGCGGCGCTGGGCATGGCGACAGCGGTGGGGATCGCACCCCGGGGCGGGGGGTTTGAGGCATCCTCAAGAAGCCCCCCCTGGCACAGAAGCCCGGCCACGGGGAGGTAGGGTCCCCGAGTGGGAGGGACACGGTGGGGCTCCCTTCACAGCCCCAGTCACTGATATTTCGCTTTATCCCCGCTCTCGTTTCAGCCCGAGCGAGACGCCGGCCCGTGCCCCCCTCCCGGGGCCACCTTCTAGCTGTGTTCCCAGCCATCGCCTTGCCTTCGCGCTGGCGTGCCTTCGTGCGCGGGCGTCTCCTCACCACCTGGCCTGGAAAACTGGAATTTATAATTTTTTTTAGTGTTTTTATTTTTTATTTTTCTTCCCTTGATTGCTGTCCGTAGAGCTGGGGGGCTCCTGCCGGCTCCCAGGGTGGCACTGGCTGCCCTCCTCCTCCTGGCCTCTGTCAGCCGGCTCTCCTGGTTTAATTTAATTTGGGGTTCGTTTGGGTTAATATTTTTTTATTAGACTTTATCAGCACTAGAAGTTTTCAGTAAATGTAGCTTTCTACTGTACTGCTCAGACCCTTCAAAGAACTGTGAACTGTTTTCAAAGCAGGAAACTGCTGAGCTTTTCTTGCAACCGTTTTTAAAATTCCCTTTTTTCAGCCTGAGGAATGATTTGACTTTGTTCCGGCGTGGGATCGCCCTCGGCAGAGAGGGAGGTGTTAGCCTTAACCGGTGTGGAGAGCGGGGCGTTTGGAAGGGAAAAGGCAGTTACTAGCACACACTGGCAATAAGGATACAGACTTTTGGGGGTTTTTTTTCTCCTTTTCTATTTTTTATTACTACAGCAACGTCAGGGGATCAGTTGCATTATGTTTTATATTTAAGATAATTAGCAGAATTAAATCTAACCGTGGCCTGTGGGAGCTGGGGGATAGAGAAGTCTGCAGCAATAAGGAATTACTGACGTGGAGAGACGCGGGAGCGGAAGAAAAACCCTGTCAGCTGTATCTTCCCTTGGAGCTACTACCACGATGTAGATTATTAAAGAAGCAATATTTAAAATACGTGTCATGGTGCCTGGTCAGTGTGGCGGTGGGGAGGGGGCCGATGCCAGGGCTGTGGCGTGGGGCGGTGCTGGTTGAAGTAAGCTGGCCCTGCATCATGGGGCAGTGAAAGGCGATCAAATGCCACGAAGGAACTGGCTAAAACGCTGGGGCATGGGGGACACCAATGTGTGATGTTACATAGAGATATTTATACAGATATCTCTGTGTGTGTGTGTATATAGAGATAAAACAGAGATAGATGTATGGGTATGTGTATATATGTTTGTATGTACATACACCTGTACGTATAGAGAGATCTATGCACAAATACATATGTATTGCTCTATAGCTACCACTCTCTATAGCTATAGCTATGTATCAAACTATATATTGTGTGTATTGTGCTTTTTCCTCTGTGTACATACGTATCTGTGTATTAGCAGAGCCACACCTATCTAGCGCTACGCACATGTATCTGTATCTACACATCTGTATCGCTGTAGCTATAGATAAACAGCTGTAGAGCATCATGTCTATGTGTATCTAGGTATATGTGTGCATAAATATATCTAGACATATATCTGTAGAGAGAGAGAGAGCCATGTCTCTTACGGGACAGAAGGAGCTGCAATAAATAAAAAGCAATCCAACTGCTGCAGCGTGGGTGCAGGATCCGTGCTGCCTTCCAGCTTCCAGCCAGGGCAGCCCTCACCCACAGCCTTGCAGCTGCTCCTCAGGACCATTGGCACATGCTCACAAGGAATGTGAATTTTGGTTTATTTTTATGATTGACTGGGAGTAGCTGCAGGGCTGAGTGTTACTGTGCCGCTTGGTGCAAGTCGGACACACCCGTGAAATGAGAAGATCGAAGCATTTGGAACTCAGCAAGGATGCCCGGGACAGGGTGAATACAGGGCCCTTCTGTTTAAGAGATTTGTGAGGGTCCTTTCAAAAAAGCCTAGAAGCAGCATTTTCATCCAATTCCTTGTGACACCCCAACCCCCCCAACCCAATTACAATCAAATTTCAGCCAAGCCACAGTAAAACCCACGGCTCCTCGTTCCTGTGATCAACAGCAGACTATAAAGCAGTGAATCAGAACTGTAAGTTACTGTATCACAGGAAAACACATTTATAAGGTATTTTATTATTTATTTTAGTACTGTAGCAGTCTCCTAATGACTTAAGATTTCCGAGATTACACATCACAAGACGGACTTCACAGTTTTTCTGAGCACCTGTAGCCCAGGGAGTGACGATTCTCATTTCCCACCCCCTTGCCTGTACAAAGTGCATTCTGCATTAACAGGCTTTGGTGGGAACACTGGTGTCACTGGGCAAGGCGAGCAGCCGGTCGCATCCTGCAAGTCACGCTGCGCTCGTCTCCAGCCTGGAGACTGGCATCCTCCTCAGCCTTTCCGTGAAGCTACGGAGGACCTCTGGCTGCAGCAGCGGTGTCACCCAGCCGTGTCCCTCGGGTCACACGGTGTGACGATGTGGAGATACAGCAGCGACCGGGGCTGGCTCCGCGCCTCGGAGTTTCGTTTCTCTCAGAAAACTTCTCTCTTGGTATAAGGAAGTCCTTTCCGCAACAGCGCGCGGTCTATTTATAGACGGTGATAAAGCTGTGTTTGCTGGGAGGCTGACATCACCCTAACCACTCACAGCGTTACATTTCATAATGGAAATATTGATTAATCAAGAACGCTAACTTTTAAAATCTCACTACTGTAAGTCTAGCCACAGCTATATTTAACGTTGAAGGAATTTAAAAATAAAATCGAGCCTAAATAAGCTATGGCTAAATGCAACTTCTTACACACCCCTGCCATTCCACTACGATTTACTTAACTGGACACTTCCAGAGGCTGCGGGTAAAACAGCCCAGGCCAGCAAGTACAAAGTCTCAAACAATAGCAGCAAAAATAAAAACAAGCCCCAAAGGCCACTTCAAGTGTAACCTATGGGCTAAAGTCATTTTTATACCAAGATTAAGCGTACTGTCCAGTCTAAGATCTTTTTAATCCCTGTACCTTTTGGAAAGTATTTGCTATTTGCAGCAGAACAAAAAAAACCACCACCACACAAACCACAACTGCAAACTGTGTTTGCAAAGGTTTGTTCTGTGACTCCATCAAGACATCCTGCTGTACGGGATCCCATTTGCTAATAACTTTTAAATACATTATTGTAGCTGTGGAGAGAGGAAGCTGGTTAACTTCGTGTGGTACTGAGAACAATTTTTACTCCGTACCTGTAACAAAAGCAATGGAAAATAACCAAGCAAAAGTGATTAAATGTTACATTCTGCTCCCTTCCACCGAGGTTAGTACAGCACAATTTATTGCTCCTGCAGCAGCTTTCAAACAGCCTGGTACCAAAGCCCTCCCTTCCCCACCTGCGGGCTTCCTCAGCAGCCCGGTCGCCAGTGACCATAAATCAGTTTGAACACCAGCACTTGAGGCAGAAGTTTAGCAACGGCATTGCTCTAGGGAGCAAAGTTTACAAAACATGAGCTTCTCTTAGCTCATGGGGGGAAAAAAAGTCCCTTGAAATCAAGCAGACAAATAGAAAAGACTGCCCTTACATGCTTTAGGAAGCTGGGTAAAAAAAAAATCTGCTGTAAAACTATAGAATCATAGAACGGTTTGGGTTGGAAGGGACCTTAAAGCTCATCTGGTTCCAACCCCCCTGCCATGGGCAGGGACACTTTCCACCAGCCCAGATATGTTTTTTAAGACCCCTTAATTAAAGTGAGGAACAGCAGCCACCCATCTGCAAGGTGTTGTATTTCCCTTCCGCGCTGATCCTGCCGGGAGCGGTGACTAAGGCCCGCGTTACGTGTGGCTGGGCAGTGCTGTTTTTAGTGACAGCATTTCCCGAGCAGCCCAATCAGAAAAACGGCTTGGGAAATACAGAACCACCGGCTAATACAATCATTTAACAAATGGCTCCTGCGTATGCAGGTTTCAATCAAACCAGAAAACTACAGAGACGGGATGTGTTCCCCTTACAAACCACCCGTCATGTCTGGTAGCCTGAGGCAACGGATTCCAGAGGACAGGGCCCGA